GCAGAGGAGGCGTGGTGCCGGCCCAGGAGCCGCAGCCGCCGGGAGAGCCGCAGAGGCCAGGGCGCACGCCATTGGTGGGCACGGCGCAGGCGCCTCCGCGGACATGCCCCGTGTTTTGGGGGAGCGAGGCCCGGCCGCGGAGGGCGAGGGATGCTGACGCGCATGGGCAGACGGACCCCGGCGCCGGGGCAGCCTCACTTCCTCGCGGGACGAAGGCTGCGCTATCACGCCAGGTTTGAACCGGAAGCGGGAATGGTGCGCGGATAGCGGACTCCAGCATCTGCGGCCGCGGGCTGAGGCGACTTGAAAGCGGCGATTTGGGCTGCAGCCCCCGTCCCCGCAGGAGATTGCCTTTGGGCTGTCGGAGTCCAGCGGTGGTGGCGCGGGAGCCGGGCTGTCGGGGAATCGAGTCGTCCGAGCCGCCTGCCCTGGGCCCCGGACGGCCCTCTCTGCACCCCTTTCCCTCTCTGCACCTCTTTCCGGGGCTCCCGTCCTCGCCACTCTCTCCCGCAGCAGATTTAGCCACGAACCTTCCTCTCAGTGCCCCCAGATTTAACTAGATGACTTGACTGATCGACTTTCTCCCCCTCTGGCAATTAGCTGTAATCAGCGAGCATCTGTTGACGTGTAAGCCGCAGTCGCGTGGCGAGGAGCCTGGGCTCTGGACTCGTCACCCCGCTGGGGTCCACCCTCTGGCCGGCAGCGGAGTGACCACGCGCTCCTGCCTTCCTTGTGACTGTTCTTTCCTGTGGTGAGCATTCTAGAGCGTCCGCTGCCGTTTTGACCCGGTTCAGATTAAGTAAAAAGACTTAAATTCAGGATGAAAATGTGGCAGAAGAGTACGGTGGTAGCAGAGGGGTGAATGAGCTTCTCTGCAAACAGATCAATTCAGTGTGGGCTGAGCCCTCCCAGTGTTGAATTGCCCCGGAGGGTGGCGGGAGCTTTCTGCACAGAAGGCAAACATGCGTGTCACGGCGCAAAGTGCAGACGGTGCCTGAAGCTCCAAAGTGAGGTCTGGTATTAAAGGAAATTAAGTGTGGGCATTGTCAACATGTCGAAGTCGTAGGAATGGATGAGGTCCCACTGGGTTAAATGAAAGGGAGAAGTCAGGAAACAAGGATGTTCTTTCGGGTGTGGGTGGAAGAAGAGCCATCACAATGGACTGACGAAACAGAAAGGGTAATTGCTAACGGTAATTTATTGACCTTTGCTGTGTTCCACGCACTGTTGGACAGTACATGAATCCTCACAGTACCGCTTTGAAGTAGGCTCTAGTATGCATTATTATTTTTTTTCATTTTATCCTTGAGAAAGCTGAGGTGAAGAGAGAGTAGCTAACTTGCCCAAGGTTCTACCGCTTATAAACAGTAGCACCAGTACAGTCTGAGTACAAAGTCCACACTCTTACCACTAGAAGAGAATGGCATCCCAAGGGCTGGATCATATTCAAGAGATGGGATTTGTCATCATTGTCAAATTCTGCAAAGGAGTCAGCACTGGGTTTGCTGATCCAGAGACTGTTACATAGGAAATAACGATCATTTAGTTGCATGTTGGAAATGGGAGCTAGATTGTTCTGAATTAATTAATGCCTTGGTTGATTTCAGCTTTAACGGATGACACTCTTATTGTAGCTGATTACTCTCTGGTTCTTTTAGTTGCTTTTTCCATTTTAGGACCCTTAGACTAGTCTTTTCCCCTAATATCTCTGTTCTCCAGCTCTTTGTGAAATTAGCACAAGTTCATACAGATCTTGGCTTTATTGTAACCTCCTCTGAGACGTGTTCCCTAATAGTTTATAAGAAAAAAAACTAGAGGCCTGGTGCACAGATTCATGCACTGGTGGGGTCCCTCAGCCTGGCCTGTGGGGATTGGGCCGAAGCTGGCCCTCCGACATCCCCCAAGGGGTCCCGGATTGCTAGAGGGCACAGGCCAGGCTGAGGGACCCCACTGGTGCACGAATCCATGCATTGGGCCTTTAGTATGTATATAAGATCTTTGGTTAATCTCTTCCCGGCCTCCTCCCTCCCCCTATCCTCTGAGATTCATCAGTCTGTTCCATGTTTCCATGCCTGTGGTTTCCGCTCCTGTGTCGAGCGTCTGCCCCCCTGGTGGTCAGTACACATCATAGCTACCGGTTGGACTGTCGAATGGTCGGCTGGTCACTTAGGCTTTTATATATATAATCCTTTTATTGTGTGTTTGTTTCCTTTGAGTCATATCACAGTTTGGAATTATGCATTGATTTATTAGTGTACTTGTTTATTGTCACTCTCTCCCACTAGTTATGACTCAGCGAGGGTAGGATTTGTGTCTGTTTGGTTCATTATAAATCTAGATTCTCCTAATATAGTACCTTGGACACAGCAGTTGCCCAATAAATACAGTTTCATGTATCAGTGAGTAACATTTCCTGTTTATGTAGGTAATACTGAACTGTTTCATTTTCTTAAAAGTAATCAATCTTTGAGAAACTGAAGAAGAGAAAAAACAAGTTCAGAAAAGCCACAGCTTAAAAAACAAGTTTAGAGTTGCCTCTTCCTGGATGTGTCACATGTTTAGGAAACATGCATTTTTTTTTCACATTATAAATAACATCTTTAGTATATTTAGGAATAATGGTGCCTACTTTTATGGTTATTTGAATATTACTAAGGTGTTTTATTTTTCTTACTGGCCAATCAAGAGGACTTTAAGATTGAGCAAGAAAGGGGAAGAGTCCTAGATACAACTATAGGGGATGGAAAAACAAAAATTACAGTCCTGTTCTGAACAAGTATATAGTCAAATGAAAAATACTGTAAGTAACATCCTGTAACCCACAGCAGGGTTTGTAATGGTGTTGAAGGGTTAGAACAATCAATGAATACTAATGGAGAAGGGAATTAGAGGTATCTGCCGGTTAACTTTGAAGTCTTATTAGGTAGTTTGCCTTCACTGAAAGTGTTTGAAGAAAGGACAATAACATTTTAGGAGGGATTTCTTCCTTTGAAGGAAGATGGGACATGATCTCTCATTTCCTGCTACTTTTAAGATTCTGTGAGATTAAACATGGCCCGATAAACATACTTGATCCTGAAAGATCGAGTAGAACATACGTGGATCGATGGGAAAAGGACTTTTCCCAGTTTTTTCTCTTGCGATATATATGTACGCGTAGATATCATAGTCGTAATGAGTATGTTTTTCTTTGTTTATTAACATTGTGTAACAGAAATGAGCCTTTTTTATAAAAAGACTCAAATACTAAAATGTTTTTCTTACAAAATGTTTTCGAAGGTTACCAAAGGAAAGTTTGATTACCAAAGGAGGAGAGCTACTGCAGTTGTATTAAGGCACAGTAAAATATAGTTAACCTTTGACATTTGCAAAGGATATCATTATGGCTTATCATTTCCATCATTTCCTTTTAAAACAAGAATATCATTTTCCTCCTGTTTTTATGTATTAAATGAGAATCATGAAGCCAATTAAGATAGAAATGCAATGCAGGGCTTCCTAGCTCTGATAACCTTCTGCATTTCAATCCCAAAGCATAAGCAATTTATGTTTTTGGCTCAGCTATATGATGTCATTACACATAGGGGTGCTTTTAAATAGTTCAGATGGTCAGTGTTAAATTCTTAAGTGCTCCTTTCCTTACTTTTTGCCTGGCTGTCTTCCATTCATTTTTGTGTTTCGATTTATTTTTATTTATTTATTTTTAAAAAAATATATTTTATTGACTTTTTTACAGAGAGGAAGGGAGAGGGATAGAGAGGTAGAAACATCAGTGAGAGAGAAACATCGATCAGCTGCCTCCTGCCCACCTCCTACTGGGGATGTGCCTGAAACCAAGGTACATGCCCTTGACTGGAATCGAACCTGGGACCTTTCAGTCCGCAGGCCAACGCTCCATCCCCTGAGCCAAACCGGTTAGGGCTGTATTATTAATGTTAACAAAGCTAAAGTTCAAATCCAGACTTGACACCAAGCCTTGCATTCCTTTCTTCCTCGTTTATA